GGCATTAATCTCGACGCTATCAAACACTTCTCATAGTCGACGAAGATTAGAACAAAAGAAAGGCGGTACTAGGCTCAGTGGGCATATTGAACGGTAGTTCTAAAGATCGTCCGTATCGCCATTCTTATGAAAAAGGATTGTCCGGAAGGGATTCTTTCCTTTTGAAGATGTTCCGCAAATATTTCGTGTAGGCGATGTTCCCCAGCTCCCTGAAACAGAGGTCGACCGAAACATGGTCCCAGAGCCGTGGCTGTTCATGGTCTGGATTGCGACGCATACTTCAGCAGGTAGAATCCGTGGTGGTATTTTTTCAGTGGGAATAACGGGGCTTGACACGGGTACTGACGAGCGAAAGAGAGGTGTAGAGCCTTACTGTGATCGATTCCATCTTCTGCCGAGAAGATGTTCGAGTCTCGTCTTCATTCAGTAGCGGGCCTGCGGAACACAGTAGTCGGGAAAGTACTTCTTTAGAATTCTCCTTCCTTGTGCTTCTTCCAGAAGTTTCGATTAACTGTACTTTCGGAAATCATTTTGCAAAGCTGTTCTGCAATGATATTGGTTACCAGTAGTTCGAGATGAGATGCAGTCGGGTTTTTGTTTCAGTGTTCTCCACCATAGCAGAACCTTGTGGCTTTCGAAGTTCGTTCCAACCTTGTTCGAGGCATTGAGGCACTTTCACCAGAGGCTCTAATTCTTCTAAGAAGCAGGTCGTAATCTTTCGCCGGGTCCTCCTCGATGGGCCAGTCACAAGTGGTCAGGAACTCTTCCAATCTGACGCCGTCATATACCACTTCTTTTCTTTCTCCAACACGGTGGCAGATCTTCGCCAGCTTTCGGCTCCCACTTTTACTCGAAGCAGACGGTGAACCACTGTTGAAGTATGGTACCGCTGGGACGTCTAGTAAGCACCATCTTCGGTTGGTAAGAATGTGGTCGATATCCGCGTGAGTTGTACCGTTGCGTGACTCCATGTCTGCCGCCGGTGTTGTTTCTTCTTAAAGATGAATTTGCCATAAAAAAAGTCGTACCGGATAAAAGCCAACAGGGCGCTTACCATTCTCATTCCGGAGTTTTGATCCAAGTCTCCCGATTCTATGCTCCCCTTCCTCTGACATCCCGATTTTCGCATTGAAGTCACCCACGACATATTTGTAGAGAGACTTCTCTTTGCGGATGACTTCCTCAAATCCTCATAAATAGGCAAGTACCGAGAGTCATTAGCTGCTGATTTTGGAGAGTAGCAGTTGAGGACGAAGTAAGGATAGCCATGCAAGGTGATAGGATCTTATGCGAATCGACAAGATGGACAACATATGGGTGTATGACAATCCAACACCTCTAACGTTTCATAATGAAACTTTCTCACCACGAATGATGAGTGTGCCATCACTCAGCTGCCTCATGTCCGTCTTCCATTGGTTGTTTCCTGCAAGGCGATTACGTGGTAGTTGATGCGCCCTGCAGCTTCGAGAAGGGCGTAAAGATTGGCTTTGGTGGAGGCTGTCCTGGCGTTACAGGTGCAGAGCATGAGTCAATCTCCATGGCGAGTCGCTGGCGTGCCTTTTGGTCAAAAATCCATAGCGTTTTGTGCAACCTGACACAGGTCTTGATGATATCCGACGCCGGAGATGTGATCCAGTGTGCAGGGCTTCTTTTCCTATTACATGCTATAGAAGTGATAAAATATAGGTCAGTGATTGCTGAAACCTTGCCAGGGACTGCCAAGGTTTCACAGGCAATCACTGACCTATGTGAATCAGGGAATCACCTTGCAACTGAATCAGTCAGGCAGTGGAGCTTCCATGACCTACTCTTGGCTGGTCCGGAAAGCCGAAAACGTCGAGCTCCTTCTCAGGTTGGGAGACCCTGCAGGGGGATAGACCCCCGCTTACTTTGC